CTCTCATTTGTCACGGAGATCACATGGCGGCGCAAGAGTTAGGACCCTGTGGTGGCCGCGCAATTACAGGGTCGGCGAAGCCAGCGGATCCAGCGGCAAGGACGACTCCTCGGTGGCGGCACAGAACTTCAACTTCCTCCTCGTGTTGCGTTTTGATGGACGGCCTGGAGAAAGAAAGGAGGAGGCATACTATATGGGAAGACGATGTGTCACTTACAGTCTAGCATGTGTGTACGTGCGTGCACCCTTACAGTACAAGCACAGAAGATTTTGTTTTTGTCATCACCGCTATTTTAAAGTTTTTCTCGACCAATTTAGTGGCGTAAAAATACAGATCCAACAAATAAGTGTTGGCAACTTCTTCTGGAAGGAGTCTCGTGTGTTTTGAAAACTTTGAAAAGCACATTATGGGATTCTGCACCAGTCAAACCACGGCCCAGTTTAGCCTCAATTATGGACTGTTTTTATTCACTTCTCATCCCCATAGTCTGTACACTCTACAATGAATTAGTGCTCTGTATATTATATACTCCATAAATATGTCAGGGTTTTTTCCCCCCTATATGTCTGCGTCTCCTTTTTTGCTAAGATGACACTTCAATGCCAAAATACCACAAGAGCATTAGCGGCAGGAAGCAACCTGTGAAAGTAACTCGCTGTCACTATCGCAAAATGTAAATCAATCAATCCTGAGTAAGCGGCATGTATGAAAAGCATTGTGTGTCTGCTCGTGTGGTGTACTTGAGAACACATACACGTGCATATGTGGCTGTGTGGTCTGTGTGCACATCTACACTTATGTGTGTGTGTGTGTGTGTGTGTGTGTGTGTGTGTGTGTGTGTGTGTGTGTGTGTGTGAGTATATATGCCATGGGAGAGTGACAGCTCTGACTTGAGCCTCTGAGGTTATGCCAGGTCGTTGGCCGCTGGCCTCCGAGTGGTGAGAACGCATAGTGGGGAGCACTGGGACCGTGAGCATAGGCTTTAGAGCAGAAGGATAAATGGAGGGTTTTAGGGATGGAGGGAGGAGCAAAGAGGAAAAAAAAAAAACTATTGATGAGGATGAGACGAGCCACAGCATGGAGCAACGACGGAGTCACGAGAAACAGGACAGAAGGAGCCTGATAGTAGAGGAGACGGATTAAAGTAGGTGAGGACAGAGTGAATGCAGGAGCACGAGCTCGACGTCGCTCATTAGGTTTGGGTGTGTATGGGAATGGCCGTAAACATGACATTTCCTCTGCAGCCAGTGGAACAACTCTGGCATCTAATGACAGCCCTGCAGCATAGAGAGTAGTGAAGCTGCAGCTACCAGAGCTGTCGCCAGGCCAAACTACCACCAGCAGCCACCAACCGGGAGTTTTGACTTGGTGCCCGGACCGGGTCAGGGAGGACGATGTCTCTGGCCAGCAACTTGCAGAAGCGTACATACAGAATCGTAACTTACCTAAAATATTACACCAACTAGGAAAAGGGTACAATCTAATGTTTTTGGGGACACAAAGTCAGATGCTGAGTGAAGCAATTAAAAGTTTATCAACTCACTGGCAAGTGTCCCCCTCCAGTGAAAAGAAGCTGGTGTCATTGAGGGGATGCCACAGTGTCCTAGCTGGCACTTAAATCAGGCAAGGCTCTGGGTGTGTATCTTTTGTTTTGTCATGTAATTATTGTCTGGGAAAAGGTTTAGTAGTAAATGACAAGTTGACTAATTTATGGCCTGACTTCCTTGGATTTTGTTGGCTTTTCTCAGAAGCTAGACAGCGTTAGGAAACATTCAAAACAGATACTTGACTCAGTCCAAGAATATTGTTATATGATAAACTCATCAGGCACAAGGTCATGGTGTTAAACCATAATAAAGAGATCCCCCTTCCAGCACGTCTTCCTGAGGTTGCATTGAAAGATTCCTGACATCTTTTAATTGTTCTGTTCTCCCTCAAAACACATAAAATCTCTCCTTAGATGCATCTACCTGATCATCTCCTTACAGTGTCCAATGCACTTCATTTGGTTCCATCGCTCTCATAAGAGCGACTTCTTAGTCCCAATTTTACTGACATGAGAGCTTGCTGTCGTGGGCAAAAAGATGACTTTTCAGAAAAGGGTCAAACCTTACAGAGAGTGGATGGTTCTGTCTCCTGAAAACCCATCCGGCAACCTGAAGCAACTGGGTTAATAAAGACTACGGCCACAATTACTTTCCATCTAGTACAATCATCAGGTCAAAATCTGTATGTCTCCAATACTCAAATATGTTCTCATCAGCCTACCCGGCACTTTGTGTTGGATTCTAATTAGCCAATGTTCACATGCTGACACACTAAACTAAGATGGTACACATAATAAACCTCCATCTTAGCATTTTCAGTCTGAGCACACAGCATGTTTAATTCAACGCATTGGCTACAGTTTATTTGAAGAGTGAGAAAGTATAGTGAGAAAAGGTCATTTTTTTAATGTCACAGTTTCTTCGTATTTCTCTGTGACTGAAATGCAGTTACTTCAAATCACCATATGAGCTGCATTACCTACTGTACTAGTGCACCAGGCGCCACACTGTGCATTTTGCCATTTTGCCATTTTTTGGAACATAATACTGCAGCGCCCGTTTGGTGCAGTATTGCTGCTGGCAGTGTTGTTGGGGGCAAGTGGCCATTCGGAACACACGCCTGTTAGGGGTGCGAGGATTGCTTGACCCCCGGAAGAGCTGCTTGCAAAACGACAACCACATCCAGCAGCAAAAGTGAACACGACCATTAACGTTTCGTTACCTCCTGGCGTATAGCCCTGGATCGCCAGTTACGTAATTGGCCACCTCAACTTAACATCGGGTTGCGGTTCTCCAGAAGTTGATTCCGTTTTAACGTTCTGCCGCTGCAGTTTTATCCAAAGTTTATTTAAAATTGCACGTGTCGCATGTCCACATTGCACCAAATTTTACTCTGCACGTCCTAAAGCCCCCAGCATATCTTGAGATATTTGCAGAATATGCACATACAGACTCCTTGCTTCATAGTTCACTTGTCATATTATGCACTACTTACAATAGCCTACTGAACTAGTGCCAGCAAGTGGGCACTTTGCTAGAGACTGTCACTTTTGTTTAAGCAGCAGGGTCATGGGTCAAGTCTATTAACTGGAGCACACGCTTTCCCCTATCCAGGCCTCAGAGTCTGAAATTCTATCCCACAGTATTGTAAAAACAGTAGCAGGCTCCTTTTGTGTCAAAAGCATCTAAAGAATGCAATCCTGATGCAGCGAGCAGTATGTCGGGTCTCCCCTTAGGGAGATGAGCCACAGGGATATCAGGGTTAAGCCGGTGTAAATTGGAAGTTATGTTGGTCGTCTTTGTGTAGTGTGTCTGTACGATGAGGACCGAGTTCAGCATCAGGGCAGGGTAGAGGATTGGGCAGCACGGCACCTGCATGAGTCATCACGCTAAGGCGAACCTGACATCAACATGTCATATCCCCCTGCTCTCAACCCCTCGCTTGATTCCTCCTCACTCTGCCGATTGCCAGCTGTTGTCGTTGTCTTCCAGTGTTTTTAGTAACTTCCACATTCCTGAAGATGGTGTCATATAATCAGTGATTTTTGCACACTGAACTCATTCACCTCAACTGGTCAAAGATAACAAAACATGTAGCTTCTGCCAACTGACATGAGCTTTTCTACAATAATGTTTAATGGGAAAACCTTTTTAAGAATCATTGCATTCCAGCTTCTAACTACAAGGTTTTTCAATATGCCCCACCAGGAAGAGGCATGTTGGCTTTGCATCAAGTATTAGTTCCCTAGCCCTTTTTAGCCCCCACTACTAGTGTGTGACAGTGGTACAGTTTGTAACAAGTATTTAGTGCCTCACAGCCAAACCCGGGACCTCAGCAATGTAAACATCTTCCTGTTTAGCATCAGCATGAAGCCTCGGAATGACCCTGTGTTTGACACTTTGTGGTCCTGTTGGAGGGGAAAAAAAATGTCTGGCCTAATTTTTACAGTACCATATGGACACGTGATGCTTATTTTCAGTGGCTTATTTAGTTTTGATTGCCAGTTTGCTTTGTTTGTGGCATGAGTGTATGGAGAGATGTCTGATATTTACCCAACTGTGTTCACATGAAGAGCGTATTGTGCCGTTATTTCAGTGGACAATTAATGTATATTCCTAAACATGGACCATGGATTTCACTCACACATATCTTAAATCTTATTGAAAGTTTTAAATTCTCAAAATAATGTAGAAAACAACATGTACATTGCTTTTGGTGATGATTCTGAGTTGAGTTTAAGAGGTGTTTACCCAATTTATTGCTGGGAACAAATAGAAATCCAACAACTGGACAGAGGTTTGCTGAAGTTGCATAGAACAGACATAGCTTTGGTCTGGGCAAGTGGATGAGATTATAGTATAGTATTGGTTTTATGCTGTGGTAGATAACGGGTGGAGCAGCAAGAGGCATCCTTCTGCTCTAATGTCAGGTTGCAGAAAACCCAAATGCAAATGTCTGGGAGGCTGAGACCTCTAATGTCCATGATTGTCCCGTTGGCGCTGTATACCAGCCTAGATCAGCCCTCCGGCTCATAGTCTTGTGTCAGATCCATTTTGTAAAAGCACACACAGCGACACAACCAGACATGCATGCAGCCTGAGGGCAGCAAGCAGATATAGCATACCACAGTAGGCAGTACGAACCATCCTTACTGGGTAACCGCTACATTGCAGAGACTGCAACTGGTCCCAGGTACCCGTCAGAACATTAAAAAAAATAATTTTTTTTTGATTTGTGATGGTTGGTGATATTCATCCGTCCCGATTAGCAGTGCAGGCGCTACTAACAATGTTGAGTCTGAACTCCGATGTACATGAATTGGCCAACTTGCCCTGTTTTTATTTTAGCAAATAATGTCAGCGACATAATGTAAGGTACACCTGCTTTGAAACGATGACAAAGGAGAACGCTGAACCTTCTTAAATTGTCTCTCTGTGTCTTTGTTTTTCAGTCAGTGGTGAAAACCGGACGTTTGCTGATCAGCCATGAAGCGCCAATAACCGGAGGCTTTGCTGCTGAAATTAGCTCTTCAGTACAGGTAAGTGTGTGCCGTCTGTGTCTCAGAACACACTGTGTCTCACGAGGGTTTATTGGGAACTGTAGCTCCCAGCGGTAGGAGGTTCAAAGCTATTGGTCTTAATAGGTTGCAATGGTTTTGGCAATGAAAGTCCCACTTTGTAATAAAGCTGAAATAGCCTTTCACTGAGTGCCCCTAAGCTGTGGGTTTGAAAACGGTGAAGTGCGTCTCCCTGGGGAGGGCCGCAGGAGAGTTGAAGGGAGGCACTGAGGTAGAGATGTGAGTCAAAGTGAGTGAGTTGAAAAGGACCGGTGAATGCCAGTATTCCAAAAAAAGAATCATACTCCTTGTTTGAGCTGTAACTCAGTCCAATCTGAACACATGGACGTAATACACGTGTTTGTAGGTGCAGTGTTACTCCCCTTTTATTATACTTTTGATGTCCATTGCGAAGAGGCTGTACCAGTAGGTAACTGGGATGTTTCATGTGTCGTATAAACTCCTGCCCTGAAGTAATATAGGCATTTTGCTACCTGCTGGTCCGGAGCCATCAACAATAAGCTGAGCAGAAAACAGCTAATGATTCAAAAGATGACTGTATACTAGAGGAGTGTATGAGTTGTCTATTTAGCTGCACAGAGGATCTTTTGTGAGTTTATACTACTCATAGGAGACTGTTGATACAGTGGGTCTCGCTATCCATATAAGGTTTACGAAATATTGCTTCTTGCTGGCAGTACAACAGGCCTGGACACGGTAACCAACACATGCCAGAGACAGCCGATGACAAATTGTGAGCTAAATGTGATGCATGACAAAATGAAAAGTCTTCCAATTCCCATCGTCTTAAATCTGTCCGTGAGGCTCTCAGCAGTGGGTACGTCTCTCCAGCGCTCCCCTTCATACCCGTTTAGTCATCGGACTAATTGTACGCACGACACGCAATGTGTTCTGTGGAGCAGTGTCCTTGTTAATGTTCATGAGTTGAAGCAGTGAAATCACTCGATCCTCTCCACTTTTACTGCCAGTCAGATGTTGCGCTCTCTCCCCTCTCAGTGAGGTCTTGAATGTCCGATGACTCATCCCCCTAATTTCCACGTTTTCACATTGTGTACGGGTGATGTAAGTTGTTGGTGAGTTCACTGATTCCCTTGATCTGCAGTTTTCACATGGCCTCAGGAGATTTGGATATCCTCTCTGGAAAGAAAAACCTAGACGTGTTCATAGTTGTGTTTCAAAAGGATGCAGCTTGACCTACAGGCCTCGGTCACACTATTAAACCCTACATTATATTACAGTTATCACTTCTTCAAAGACAAAGGAATATGCTTGTTTTGGCTTTCTCACAAATATAAGGTATGATGGCCCACAGTAGCCTATAATGCCCAATAGGCCATTCCTATTAAGTGATGTTTAATGCCATTAAGGGTTTTTAAGTTACAGCCAGTTACCAGCACATAGGACTACAGCATTTCTTATTAATAACCAGTCTGTGTTCCCTTTTAGTCGATATCAGGCTTTGCGTTGTGCCAATACTGTACAGATGAACATGTCTGATTAATGTCAGAGCCTCGTTCTCAACTGAAGTTGACAGTGCAACACAAAAGCCGTCTTGTATGTATCCTGCATCAAAGGGTAACGAGTGACTGACTCAAACAGAAGTTTGGCAAAACTACTGATGTTAAGCGGACAATAGTTTTGTTTTCCCTCACCATGAAACTGGGTCACCATTGGAATCTATTGTTACCACTGTCGAACCAAGCCGACTGCAGACACCACAATGTGCAGAAAGACCAAGGGCTGCACTATATTTGTGCGTGCATGCACACACACACACACAAAGAGAGAGGGGGAGGGGGATAAGGAGGGGGAGAGGTGAGTCACGACGACAAACATCCCTCAAACTTGCGGTCATTATTTACTTCTATTGTACTTTGCGATTATTGTCTAAAGAGAGATGAGGACTTCAAAGAGATTCCTATTTATTAAAACAAAAATAAAAGAGCAATAAGAGACCTGGCTTTGTTGAGACTGTCCGTCTATCGATTCTGAAAACAGAACAGACATTATGACCCTCCTTCATACACAACACCACCATACCACAGTGTATGTGCCATCAGACAGTGATGGATATCCATCTTCCATAAGCAGCCAAAGACTGTCCGTAAAGCCGTTAGCTGTGTGCTACTCATTTTTAGTTTTGTAGGTCAAAGACTGTGTGGAGGGCCGAGTCTGACTGCTGAGCCCCTGAATAAGCCAGGAAGTGTGTTGCATTACTACGACAACAGGCAGAGATGTCATGTCAATAGCTGCGGCAAAACTGTATATTAAACGCAGTTTTCAATGTGGCGAACTTTATTCTGTTTCAATAGGTATGAAAGCGCAACATAAAACATAGTTTATGTAAATGTTTCACACATCAAATAATCTTGCCGCACTATCGACATGCCGTAAAATGCACTTTGGGAGCGACTGCTGTAACGCAGCCTTCTCATTTGTCGATGCAGCTTGAGGTTACGTGCTTGGTTTAATGAGCTAGCTTGGCTAACTCGCCGTCTGGACACCATGCAGCAGAAATGTCTTGTATGAATGAGATTACTCTGTCGCATGATACAAAATGGCAGTTTTAATTTTGTGTTGCAATCCCGCTGGGAAGCGAGTAAATATGTAGCTTTGAGCAGGAAGAGTCTGAGACTAATTCAGCAGTGTGGTTGTTGAAGGCTCTAACTTGTACCACGCCTCCTTGTTTTCTACCCCTCCCAGGCTCAAATCAAGGTCCAAAAAGAGAAACTTGTTGTCAGTAAACCTGTATAGTCTAGGCACTGTTGTCTGAGAGCGCTTCAGTCTATTCATTTGTGAGAGAGTGGCTTTACCTCCTCGCTAACCACCTCAGGTCCTTCCTTAAAGATCCATTTATGCTCGTTTCTTTTTCTTCTATGAAGAACAGAGGGGAGTTTAGTTGGGCTTGGCAGGTTTCCTTTGTCGAGCTTTGGCTTCAGCCCTAGTGATATAATAATGTGTCATTGGCTGGCCCGGTCCCGAGTGTTTGGCAGATGTCCTGACGGAGAAGGGATGAGATGTGGAGAAAGACAATGCTTTCATGGACCTCAGGGATGCACAGAGAGAAATGGTGAATCACCCTCCTCCTCTCAACTCCAAACTACCACAGACTCCACTCTAGTACAGAATATTCAGATTCCAAAGGAGGACACACTTTGGCTGATCATTTGGATTTAAGTTAAAAAAGAATTTCATTGGTTGTCAAAGTAATAATTAAATGCTGTTTAACTGCAACTGTTACAAGAACGTTTAGCTGCTTTGAACAATTCTTTTAAAAAGTGCAAATTACATACCAAGTGTATATGCAGTATACTGAAGATGGTAGTCTGGCAGCTAAAGTAAGACGACACTTTATTCTCTAATCATATTTTACATTGCATGTAATCATATAGCATTGTCACCCACAGATTTCTGTGAAGCCCTTGGATTGGCTGGTTCCAATTCCACTGATAGTGCTTTTCCTTATTTGTATGCAATTTAAAACAACAGAGTCCAACATCCAACCCAGCACAGCCCCGCTGAGTTGTGGTACTTTTCTGGGACGTGGTTCAATGACTACGGACTCCACTCAGGCTCGACAGTCTGTGCCTTCATGTAGAATCAAGAGGTTATGTAATGGTGGTCTGCTGCTGCTCAAAGCTGTCAGCTGCCAATAGGCTAAAGCCTGGTTCACTCATTAGCCATTTCTTACCTTTATCTAACTGCAAGGTGTTTTGTAAACTTCTGATATAGTGCATGTGAATTTGAAACCAGACTAAAAATCGACCTGCAATAGCAGCCCGATAGGAGTCATTCATACACGAGAGAAGATAATTGAATGTATGAGAAGTGAAGGGAGAACGTGTTTGGGTCAGGGGTAGGGAAATGTTTTTTTTTACCTCTTCGGTGTCCACCCTGGAAAAATACCCAAGGGCCAGTTAATAAACAAACAATAATGTTTACTAGATACAATGAAGAAACATTAAAAGACCCATAACTCATCAAAAAAAAAGGGGGGACTTTTCAGTCAAGTCTGCACAGAAGCAAAATGATAGAAAACGCGTTGATTGTGTGTTGATCTAGACCTGCAAAGACGAACCCTGTAATGTGTAATTCCATCTATCTGCCTGTCAGTAATTCAAAGAAGATGACATCCAGATTTGCTCCAGGCCTATTCAAGCACACTCCTGTTCAACCTAAACATTATAAGTTACACATGTATCTTTAATATCAAATGTATTATTGTTAGATGAATCAAGTGTCCAGTGCCATACAGTTTGTTTTGTCGAGTTTGATATTATATTCTTGTAATGTTCAATTTGAACATAGTTGAAGGAAATGATTTTCATAAAAGAGTTGAATTATTAATTGAGACTTATATTCGTTAATTTTTCCACTAAATGTCCAATTACATCAGCACATTCATTATTCTAGTGTTATAGTTGTGGGTAATTATTAAAGCATCTTTTATTACCTACAAATAGACACCAAGATCATTAAAATCAGGGAAATACAAAGTTTTATTCCGAAAACAAAGTTTCTGGAGGCCCAATTGGCAGCCATCTTGAAAAATAGCCGCCATCTTGGATTTTTGAATAGCCAATCAGGCAGGTTTGACCAGATACCTCTGGAGAACAACTCCACCAAATTTCATGCTTGTATCACAATTTGCACGATTAATCTACTATCTGCCCCACTACATAAAACATTACACGATCATTTATATCAGTATTTTAAGAGGATTTATATTTTTGATTTATATATATATATGGTTACATATAGTTTCATTTCTTTGCCATATTGTAAGGATCATCAGAAATCATTACATTCATAAATTCAAAGATAAACATTCAATCTGGTATCCATAGTAACAATGCCATGGAGGACTCCATGGATAGAATGGTCTCTTTATGACTCTATGGTCTCTTTATTCTGTGCCTTTTGATGTTAAGCCTATATATCCCTGTACATTCCCTCACACA